AAACTTTATTTTATATAGTGCCCTTAAAGATGGCTTCTCAAAGCGCTTATCGCGTAGTCAGAGGAGAGGACACCCTTAGATTTCAACACTTACTCTCTCAATACACAATACAGAGTAAGGACAAAATAGCAAATCAGACCTTTCAAAAGTGGCTGAAAGAATAGTGGAAGCTCCTTATGTTGAATTAAAGAGCAACAAAAAGGTGCAGGGGTTGAATTTGTGGTCAGTGAGGAGGCTGGAGGTTGAAGAATGTGGGTGGGGTGGTCTATGTCCGGACCTGGTGCTCCAGAGGTGCGTGCAGGTCAGAGCTGTGATCTGATTGATGCTGTGGCTGGGGGTCAGGGGCTCAGGGGCTCAGGGTCTGGGCCACGCTGCTTCTCCTGAAACACTGCTCTCTGTGTCCAGCCTTCCATATGGCCAACTTGTGATGCCACCATTACACACACACACACAGGTCAGAGGTCACCCAGGTTCAGATTTCCCTGCATGGCGCTACAAATAATAATCGGAAGTGTGCACATTCTGCTGCAGTCAGACAGCGTGCATGGCTTTATGGCGGTCAGACATTTCTGAAGCTTGTGTTCTCCCTTAGCTGCGACACAGACAGGAGAAAGAGCATTAACATATGAAAAGCTAGAATGCAGGCCAGCAATCCCGAGTGTCATTCTTTATAGCAGAACGCAATTGACTGCAATAAAGCGAAACTCTTGCAAAGACCTGGTTCACATCAAATGTCAGCACACCTTCCAACAGCAAGTTGTAAACCAACTTCTTGATGGCAGGTTTCCACAGAACAGGAGCAAGAGTCTCCTGACAAACATATCCTCACCCAGTACCAACTTTAGTTTCCCAACTGGCGGACTGATCACAGTTCTGACTCCTCCTGTTCTTTGTTCCCTTTGGTCTTCTGCTATGCAAGCCAACCCGTCTGCCAAGACAATAAATAAAAGCAACACCAATCACCACAGAGCTGCTGCCGTAACTCACTATGGGGCTCCCAGAGGTTGTATTGCAGAGCTGAACACAGCCACTTTGAAACCAAATTCAATTTTGCAAAAGACTGACTGCAAGGTCCACCCTGTATTGTCCTCAGAAAGGACAGAAAAGCAGAGAAAACAG